TGGCCTTGCCCTTCCCTAAATCTTTAATCTTCTACAGCTGTTGAGATATCTGGGCTTTGCCTGCTTTCACTTCTTGAAATACGCAGATAATTAATGATTCCATGATTGGTGACCATGCCTTCAGCTGTTAACACTCTAAGCTCTTGAATTCTGTTTCTCAGAACAGTCCTTCAAGTAGGGCAAAGCAGGATAACCACCCACACCCCCATTTTGGAGGTGGGGGGCCTATTATGGGACCTTTAGGAACCAGAAGTCAGAATGGAGTGACTTTTGAATTGATGAGTGGCATCTGTGACCTTTTGTAATGTAAGACGTGTGTCGATATAGATACATGCATTGGTACCATTTTATGCCAGAGTTTGGATTTTGAACGAGTGACATAGTCATAGAGTCATATGGCATAGAAGCGGGTCCTTTGGCCCACCATGTCTATGCCGGCCAGAAAACACCAAACTATACTAATTCAATTTTCCTGCACTTGGTTTATTGCCTACTATGCGTTTTAAGTGCTCGGCCAGATGCTCCTTAATTGTTAGATGAGTACCTGTCTCCACCACTTTCTCAGGCAGCACATTCTATATTTCTGCCACCCTCTAGGTTTCAGTCAGTATGTATGAGGGCATTTAGTGATTAACTTGTTGGTATTTTGAGATATTAGTTTAAACCATTACAAAAGAGAGCCCCTGTGTTGATGATGGGAATTTATTTGCATTGACAGTTCTGCAACTGGACAGAGTGTTGGAGAGCATTAACTTGCTTTAAATTTAGAAAATCAGGATTTTTTTGTTTTTCTTAGGGGAAAAAGGGTTATTTAAAGTTGAGAAAGACTAATCTCAGTTGTATGAATGCTTAAGGAAGAGTTACCAAACTCTCAAGACTAGGAATTGAAAGAAACAGTTAAATTAAACCTATAGGTGTAATAATGAAGTGAACCCTGTCTCTGGTGTTTGAAGATTGTAAAGTGATGGTGTTGGAATAGATGGGATTGTATTTTTACTGCATTTTTGAATTTTTTCAAATTGTTGTATGTCAATAACTTAGTTTATTCTATTTTATCTTCTGTGCAGTAATTTTTTTCTTATTTTTGAAACCAAACCTACAGCATTGGATGCTTTATGTTGCCTTGAAAGACCACCTCATTAAATAAAAACCAAGGATATGATCTACCAAGCCTAATTTGAGGCTGGGATCTGAGTTGTCCACTAATAACATCTGCTAGGTTCATAATTGTTTGTTTCATTTCCTGTTGCATTTGAAGATGGTGAGGCATCATTAACGTAAAGGAGATTGAAGATCTTCATTCGCAGGATGACAGGAAAAGCTAGAGAGCATGGGTGAGGGAGAGGTGTGGTTTGGGATGGCAGAGCAACTTTCCCTGGGCCACTGTACCACCCTTAGGCAGCTTTGCACTCTTAACTTCTCTACTAGGGTGCCGACCCTTGAGGACTGACATTGATCTTCAATTCCTGAAGACCCAATCTCCAGGACAGTACTGTGTGCAGCTCCAGACAAAAACCTTCAGGACCATTTTATTTTTCATTTTCTCTTTACTGGATCTAAAAATATTGAAGGTGGTTGAAAAAGGCTGTGTTCGGCCGATAATAAAGCATCATCGAATCGGACAATGAGTCACTTTGCTTTCCAAATTGCATAGGACATTAATGTGTCACAAGGTTGGATGTATTGGCAGAAATATGGGAGGCAAGGCATGTGATGAGACTTTCCAGGAATGTATTTGATCACAATTGGCAACCCTATTTTCTGTGTCTTCCAAGGTACTCCTCAAAACCTCCAATCCTACAACATGTTTTTCTATTTTTTCGTGCAGCTGTGTCAAATTTTTGCAAATTTACATCAGCAATTGCTAATATTTGGGATTTTTTGAGGAAGTTATCTAAAAGATTGATGAGGGCAGAGCAGTAAACGACGTTTACTTGGACTTTAGTAAAGCCTTTGGGGTTCCACTTGGTAGACTAATTAGTAAAGTTAGGTCACATGGGATTCAGGGTGAGCTTGCCAATTGGATACATAATTGGTTTAACAACAGGAGACAGAATGGTGCTGGAGGCTTTTTGGACTGGAGATCTGTCACCAGCAGTGTTCCATAGGGATCAGTTTTGGGTCCTCTCTTGTCATTTATATCAATGATTTGGATGAGAATATAGAGCGCATGGTTAGTAAGTTTGTGGACGACACCAAAATTGGTAGCATAATAGACAGTGAATGAGGTTTTCTAAGATTATGAAGGGATCTTGATCAAATGGGTCAATGGACTGAAAAAATGGCAGATGGAATTCAATCTGGATAAATGCGAGGTATTGCATTTTGGTACAACGAACAAGGGTAGACCTTATACAATTAATGGTAGGGCCTTGGGTACTGTTGTAGAACAGAGGGACCTAGGCATTCAGGTACATAATTCTTTGACGTTTGCATCACATAGAGACAGAGTGCTTAAAAAGGCATATGGCACGCTTGCTGTCATTGCTCACTCCTTTTGAGTATAGGAGTTGGGACGTCATATTGAGATTGTACAGGACATTGGTGAGGCCTGTTCTGGAATACTGTGTCCAATTTTGGTCACAGTTATATGGAGGATATTATTAAGCTGGAGAGGGTTCAGAAGAGATTTACCAGGACGTTGCTGGATATGGAGCGTTTCAGTTATAAAGAAAGGCTGGATAGGCTGGTTCTAATTTACTGGAGTTCAGGAGGTTGAGAGGTGACCTTATAGAAGTTATAAAAAAAAACTGAGGGGTTTAGATGGAGAAAATGTGTCTTTTCATTAGGATGGGGGTTTTTAAGACTGGGAACACATTTTTAAGATGACAGGAGAGATATTTTAAAAAAAGACATGAGGGGCAAATTTTTTACACAGAGGATGGTTTGCGTGTGAAATGAACTTCCAGAGAAAGTGGTGGATGTGGGCACAATTACAATGTTTGAAAGACATTTGGATGGGTACATGAATAGGAAAGGTTTGGAGGGATACGGGCCAGGAGCAGGCAGGTGGGACTAGTTTAATTTGGGATTATGTTCAGCACGGACTAGTTGGACTCTATGGCTATCATTTGGATTTCTGTGTGAATTTGTTTTGTCTACTTCATCTGCTGTAAAATCATATTTCAGAATGCAATTTACTTTTAATCTATACTTTAACTTGGATTTAATTTTTAGCTTTTATTTTTAACAAATACATTGAAGGAATAAAATATTTCCAGAGCTCCAAACAAAGAATAAGGAGTGAGATTGATTGGATAGTTCTAGCAAAGGGCTTGCATAGCCTGATGGCTTAAATGGCCTCCTGTAGTGTTTTATGATTATATGACACTTATTTCCAGCCATCTTTTTAATCAGCAGAATAGCTTCTTGATTTCTCTTTGAGCTCCAATGCGATTTTCTCATTGGAGAGGACTCTAGGTTTTCAAAGGGTGATCCACTTGAACACAGGACACACCATGGCCACAAAGTTTCCCACCCAACTTCCTGGATGAGAAACCCTGAAATTGTTGCACATTGTGGGTGGTGGAGTAAACTTTACCTAGTACTTGGATTTGAACCTATAACCACTGTGGTACGAATTGAGTATCTTCAGTAAGTTACCATGTAATTTTAAAGCTATTTAAGAAATTCTGTGATCAGCAGCCCAACCATGGCTTCAGATGTCTATAAAGTGGCTGTGGTAATGTAACTTGATAAGAAAATGAGAAAGTTGAATAAAAGAAAATCAAATATGAATGAAATAAAAGTAGGAAAGATATAGTTTCATCAGTGGCGGAGTACCCCTTTCATCAAGTTGTATATGATTTTAGTTTTAAACTCAGTGACTGTGATATTTTTGGAGGTGGACAACATTTAATTGGCCAGTATTGATGAGGTAAAGGGAACTGGCTAGGAAAACTAACTATTCTGATGATTCAGTTCTTCTAGTAATGCAAAGTTGAAACAACAAGTGTACTGAAACACCCTAGGTTAATAACTGTTATTAATTCAGCTCATTCCCAATGTCAATCTCTGTAATCCCTTTTCAGCCAATTACTTGTGATCACCCATTCTATTTAAAGCATAAATGTTTTTACACATCAACTTACTTAATAAAAGCAAAGAATGATCATTAACCATTTTTTCTTTTCAAAATACTATCTCAAAAAGTAGCAGTTTTGATTTTCATATGTTGATATATGATGTTTTTAATTTTTCTTTTTGGAATTAGATAAATACCCAGCATTGTTCAGCAGTGTTGGTGAATTTGTTATAGCACTTAAGTGTACTATTCAGACTTTTATTGCTGTTGAAAAGTGAGATGTTGAATATTTGTACTGTGCTGTACTAAAGGAACAGGAGTATGCCATTCAGCTGCTAGAGCCTACTGTATCATTCTTTAGGTCATGGCAGATCATTGACTTCAATGCCACTTGCCTGCACTACCTCTCTATCCCATGACATCATTGTCCTCCAGAAATCCATTGGTTTTTGTCTTGTATCCTGCTAGTCCTTTTTTGATGAAGTAATAGTTTTGTTAAAAAAGTCCATTGAAAGTTGCTAAGTAATTGCACATAAGTCTTGCCCATCACTCTTACCATCTACCTCATCAATGCAACCCTGGAAGGCAGTGTGTGGAAGCAACCCTGGAACACTGTTCCTTTGATTTTTTCTTTTTTGTTGCTCAAGTTATGCAGCGGCACTATAGATACAGCTAAGATTGCATACTTTAACATTGTTCTTTCCCTGGATCTTTATTTCAATGGGAAACTGTATCCAACTATACACCAAAAAGGTAATGCTTAAGCTAACATGCTGTAGTTTAATTCCGCTTTCCTTCAAGCCTAACCTGGGCTGTGTACAGCATATTAGCCTTCATTGTGCAAAATAGCTGAGTGTAAACTATCTTGAATGTTAAGCAATTAATGTTGTTTTGAAATTGGAAGATGAATGAAATTTCAAGTTTGAATCATCTGCAGGTTTCTGTTAATTAAGGTGTTTTCTTGGTTCATTTGTAGGTTCACCATTCCTCGCCCATGAAGACTCTGTCTTAGGAGGAGTAATTGTTCTTCGCTGCTGCAAATGCTCATTAGAATCTGAATCATCAATAAACACTCAACCTCTCCTAGGTAAGCAAAACAACTGGAATCTCACCACCTTAGTCTCTACTGCAATGGCAGGACCATTTTTCTTTACGAACCAGACACTATGCACGTACGTCTGTTCTTTATCAGAGCAAACCAAATGGCATCCCTTCTCTGGGCTCCCTGACAACTTAGAGGTCAGAATGATGCAACAATCTGTCAAATGAAGTGTCGATTTTTGTAATTACACGGATCAGAGAAGATCACAGCACGTGGGTTTTTCAGGCTGCAGAAACCATGGGAATGGAGAAAAGACCTGTGAGGACAGCATCTCACTGTTGTATGGATCAGAGTGGTCAAAGAAATCAGCAATGAGCATGTGACTTATCCAACCTGGAGTCAGTACATCAAGAGGATTCTTGACTTTGGAAGGACGTGGCAAATTGGAGGTATAGCACCTTACATGACCACGCTGCCTTGTTTAGTGCTCTCCTAAGGACAACACATGTTGCAATGTCACTCATTCTTCTGCATGCAGGTACCTCTTATCCACGGACTCCATGTACGTTTCTTGTTGCCCACAGAAAGGCAGCCAATGTCATCAAAGACCCTTTCCATCCTGGTTATACTCTCTTCCAACCTCTTGCATCAGGCAATAGATTAAACACATGTACCAACAGGTTCAAGAGCAGCTTCTTCCCTGCTGTTTTTAGACTGCTGAATGGACCTCTCTAATTTCAAACCTAATGTTGATCTTGCTTTTGTGTGCAGCTGTAACCTTGTATGCTTCACTCTGTCTAAACACCCTATGACCTGTATGTCCTTGTATGTTATGATCTGCCTTTAGTGCGAAAAAAAACCTGTCACTGAACTTAGGTAAATTTGACAACAATAAATCAAATGAAAAGAAATCAAACCTCACATCCCCAGGTATTACTCTCAGGTGCTCCCTAAGGCCTCACAGTCATTCTCCAAAAATGATGACCTCTGCATTCTAGCCATTGTGAAGGTATTCTGTCCTTGCAGGAAAACAGCACGCCTAACTTAATAAGAGGCAGAGACTTGAGGGTGGGGATGGGGTATTCTCTCCAGTGACCGGTCATGCTAGCCATTGTCATTTAATGTCCACATCCTCCATATGGAAGGAGGTCTTGTTCCTGGAAGCTGTGGATGGCAGAAGTCACCTGCCTAAGGGAATGAACATCCTGTAACCCTGGGGCTGTTGTGAGAATTGAGCCTCGACCTATAGACCCTGTTTTGACCTGCCTTCCTCCTTTTTAGCTGGATATCACTGTCCATTCCATCTGCCCCATGACGGGGCATATGACTAAGGAAAAGGCAGCTGATGCTGCTGGAGTTGTCCCTGCTCAACTGGATTGATTTGGAATGTGCATGTCACTGGTAAACTCATCATTTTTTTTTGCCCATCCCTAATTATCTTAAAAGCAGTTAAGATCCAATTGTATTCTGTAAGCCTGAAGTTACAAGTTGGCCAGTCAACATGAGAGTTGCAGATTTACTTCTATAAGGGACATTAGTAAAGCAGTTGGGTTTTTATAGCATTTGATAGTTCCAGTAATGTTCATCATTTAAACTTACTTTTAATTCCAGATTGTTATGACATTGCCACTGCACTACTGCTCCCTCTAGTGTTGTCTGGCTTCTGTTCATGACCCTCAGCATTGGGTGGAAGACAGAGCTGAATAAGTTGCTCCAGGTGCACTGAAGACTGCCATCTGTGCAATCCATTTTAAAACAATCACCTGTCAAGTAGTGGAAGAACTTTCAGAAGAAATACTTTGATCAGCCAGCTCTTGATGGCAATGGCTGGATCCCTTCAGTATAACTGGTAAAATCCTTCCCAGCCCATCAGTTTCCCCGAAGAAACTCTTCCTGATATGCACTCACCTCGGTGATCTTGGCTTCTTAATGAACTCAACATCTACTAAATTACTCACTCAACAGATTCAACGAGGGTGCCAGCTGCCCTTCAGTCCAGTCCTGAGGAAAGTCCAAAGCGGGCTAGATCAAACCAGGATCCCAACTTGATGCCGTTTTCTGGAACTTTTCCTGCTTAGTCCCATACCAGTCTCTGGCAGCTATATTCGGACACTTGAGAAAGAAAATTGAGAGTATTGTCAAGAAATGAGCTTGCTGATGCCCCAGTGAGGGTCGTTTATTGTTAGGATTTCTCCTGTTGGATATTTTGTGTATTGGCACCACAAGGACCTTCTGAAAATTGGATGTTCCTGTAAAGTTTAATGAAATATAATTTTCTGTCTTGATGTCTTATTTCAGATGATTCTGTCCAAAAGATTAAAATAAAATTGTAGTAATTTTTTTTTCTCAAATTTGTCTTCTGAATCACTTGCACTTAATTAGTGGCTCTATGATTTTAATTTTTTCCCAATATTTTTGAACTTAATTTTTTTAAGCTTTTTAAATGTGACACCAAAAGCTAGCAGAAGCTCGCAGCAAAGGTACAATCTAAATATAATAAAACATCTTCAGGTACTTCATAGAAGCATGATGAAACAAAATGACACAAAGCCACATAAGGGGGATACCTGTCAGATGATCAAGACTTTAGTTCAAGTGAACAGTTTTAAGAAGGACCTTAAAGGGGTAAAGCAAAGTGGAGACTAGAGAGATTCTGGAGACTGGGGCTTGGGCCAGTGAAGGTACCATTAGTGAAGCAATTAAAATTGGGAATGCACAAATGGCCAGAATTAGAGGTTGTGGGATTGGACAAGATCTCAGAAATAGTAAGTAAAGTCTTCGCAGGATTTGAAAATGCATGAGGGTTTTAAAATAAAGATGTTTCTTGACCAGGAGCCAGTGTAGGTCCCACGTATAGGTGTGATAGGGAAATGGAACTTGGTGCCATCCAAGATACGTGCCACTGTGTTTTGAATGATCTTAAGTTTACAGAAGGTAGAATATAGGACCCGTATTGGAATAGTCAAATTTAAGTCTAACACCGGCATTTATCAGTAGCTGGGATGTGATGGATAAAGTTGCTGATGTGTTGGAGGTGGAAATAGGCAGTCATTATGATGAAGTGAACACAAGTCCAAAAGTTCATCTCTGGATCAAAAATGCCAAGCTTGTGAACAGTCTGGTTTACGCTCGGACAGTTGGCAGGGAGAAGAATGGAGTCAGGACCAAGGGAACAGAGTTTGCAGCAGCGATTGAAAACTGTGACTTCAATCATAAGACAATGTTTCATTGGTGGAAATTTACAATCACCTAGTACTGGATGTCGGATAAGCAACCTGATCATTTAGCAACAGTGGAGGAGTCAAGAGGTGGTGGTGAGGTAGAGCTGGGTGTCATCTGTTTACGTGAGTAAACTAATGCTGTGCTTTGGGATGCAAAAGTATGCACCATGTAAAAATAAATATATTGACAGAACTTGTATTTGTAAAGCACCTCAAATATAGTAAAACATCCCAAGTCATTTCACAAGAATGGTATCAAACAAAATTTGACCCTCAGGCATTAAAGGAGATATTAAGACAGTTAAATAAAAACATAATCAAAAACAAATAAGTTTCGAGGAGCATCATAAAAGAGAAAGTTGTAAGCTTTGGAGACAAAACTTAGAAGTTTGGGCTCAGGTGAAGGTATGGTTGTCACTGGTGGAGCCATTAAAACTGAACATGTACAAGAGGCCAGAATTGGTCAATATTCTTAATACCACAACCTTAAGTGAAAAATTATTTTCAGAAAATTTGTGCATCGTCTTTTTTTTTCAAATAGTGAATACAAAATAAAGCGTTAAACCAAATTAGAAATTGGGAAAAAATGACAAATAGTTTTAACTGAATGGAAATTCTTCTTTTTCATGAGATGTGATTTTTGTAATTAGTCTCACTCTCATAAAACATTGAAATTTGGATTGGAAAAAACTTCAAACAGATTTCTTTTACAATCACGTTGTCTTTGTGAAATTATGACCACTGTTCTAAAATAGCCTCTCTTCAGGTTTGTCACCATTACCAGCCATCCTTTTGTCACTGAGTGGCTCATTTCTTTTACTGCATTTAATTTTGATGAACATTATTTTTAAAATTCTTTCCACAGTTGAGTTTTTATGGAGTCATACCACTGAGAGTATGTGTGTTGGGTATATGTCAACTCAAGATGGCAAAGCAAAGGTAAGTCCAAGTCCAAGTCCAACCTTCGTAATTCCAAGCTGTAATGCTTTTTAGTAAATGTTATCTTTTTTAAAATTTTACAGAGCTGTCCCTGTTTTGAGTAATTATGCATTTTACAAATGCTAATCCTAGATATATATTCTTGAGAGATCACACAGCTGTGAGGAGAATATTTTTTCCAATTAACTTAGAGATAATGTGCTGGCTAACTTAAACAATGCATGTGGGTTTTGCAGAAATGTATATCTTGTGGTAGCTTTGAAGTGTAGAGCATACCCTGAAGATTATTTTCTATTGCTAAATCATAAATTGTTCTGATCCCCAAAGTTCCTTTTGACAACAGTACTTGTTTGAGGTTTTCAAAGAAGATTTCTAACCTCGACATTTCATTCTTTCACACACTTCAAAGCAACAAAGTGAAGACTTTTGTGTTTGAACCTCAAAGCATACAGAGTATATCTCAAAAAGTAAGAGTCTTATTTATATTAGAACATCACAGTTCACACAGAATAAAACTGTTGTTCAGTAACAGAGGTGACACTGGGACATTAAAGGCATGGTAAGTTGGCTGCTTGCTGAGCAACTTCTCATCCATTCTTTGACATCTGGTGTACATTGTTTCCATATTGCCCACAAATTCTGCAGCTGGTATTGTTGAAGGCCTGACAGACGCAGCTGCTCTTCTCACTTCAATTTTAAATTACGCTTTTGACCTTCCTTTACGAGACTAATCCTTTTTCACCACCCCCACTTTGAATCCATGGCCACAAATGTTTTTCGGCACAAATACTCAGGACGGAGAAGGAGAAGGGGGAGGAATAGTTGACAAGCTTGATCAAAAAATAATGTCAGCAAAGCTGGCATATTAGTATTTGCCATTTTAAATTGGGTTTAACAAATATTGCCTTATTGGGGTAAACTATCATAAACTACAATATAATGTGTTAATGTTTTGAGAAGATTGTTTCTGTTTTTATTTTCACCCCTTTATTAACTCTCGCAATTATTTCTAGGATATCAGCTTTGTCCAGTTGACCCAAAGGTAAAGCATTCGGTATATAAAAGCTGGAATGTTTTTATTCCAACCTCTTTAATGACTGAGAAATTATTTAATGATGAAAGTAGTCTGACACTGTTGATTCTTGGGTCTTTTTTATGGGGCTGTAACAGTGAGTGTTTTACACTGCCTTTTGAGATGATTTGAGATTTTAATTTTGATTATCATTGCTTCAACTAGAATTTGAAACCCAAAGTATTGATACAACAGATACACTGCTGCTTGTCTTTCAGTACAAACAAAAAGACTTTTTAGTTACATTTGTCAATCAAATATTACTGGACTAAGAAATACTTAATTTTTGTTACTTTTTGAACAACTCATTTCTTTCAAAAACAAAGCTTCCATTCATAGTTTGCTTGATGTAAAAACAATTAATGGATGTAATTTGCAATGGTAACACAAATATCTTATGTAAACCCTTACCCAAAAGAAGAAAGATAAAGTTAAGCATCTCACTTAAAATGTTCTGTTTGTTTTAAATCATGCGTTTCACATAAAATAGATAAGTTCTTCAGAAAGGTAGTTTTCACAGTTCATTTTCTCTTGAAAATTTTGGATAAACCATATGATTGTACATAGTGTACAAGCCCTGAAAAACAAACATATGAAGGGGACCAGATACCTGTTTATGAACGCTACTTAGAAATTGCCCTGTGAGCATAGATGTGTGCAAATGGCAGTTGAACGTGCAACTTGAAGCACTGCCAAATCTTTGTAAAGGTTTGAAACATCTTTTTTCATTGAATTAGTTTTTATGGTTCATGGTAGATTATGTATTCATGATTTCAGGTTTCAAATAAATAGTTATAACACTGCAGTGGCCCTATATGAATTGAGTCATTCTTAACCTGATCAATGTTAAAATGCTGTTGACCTTGAATTTTGAGGCATCTGCAAGGGCAGGATTATCAACTACCAGACAATCAGAAGATTGAGGGGGGATCTTATAGAAACATATAAAATTATGAAGGGAATAGATAAGATAGAAGTAGAGAGGATGTTTTCACTGGCAGGTGAAGCTAGGACAAGAGGGCATAGCCTCAAGATTAGAGGGAGCAGATTTAGGACTGAATTGAGAAGGAATTTCTTCACCCAGAGGGTTGTTAATCTATGGAATTCCTTGCCCAGTGAAGTAGTTGACGCTACTTCAGTAAACATTTCTAAAAAAAAGGTAGATTTTTTTTGAACAATAAAGGAGTTAAGGGATACGGTGAGAACACAGGTAAGTGGATCTGAGTCCACGAAAAGATCAGCCATGATCTTATTGAATGGCGGAGCAGGCTGGAAGGGCCAGACGGCCTACTCCTGCTCCTAATTCTTATGTTCTTATGTTCTAGACTAAACAGAGTTCAAATTTTCAGTACTATAAAATGGGCACCTCAATGTTTAGTTTTTATGAACATCCTCTGTTGCTGCTGTCCTAATGAAGGAAATACATCATTACATGGAAAAGGCAGTATGTTGGATGTTCACTTTATTCCAACGTTTTTGCCCTGGTAAAGAAGTTGTTGTGCATGTAGCCTAGAGGAAGACCAGTGGGGAAGTAGTTTCAGCATGGGCTGCCTTTTTGTTCATGGACTGCAAGATTTTACCAAGAGCAGGTGAAACTTCTGTCAACATAGATAAGTGGAAGTGCCCAACCCTATAATTGGTAGGTATTTTCTTGGTTCATGGGGAGCCAATTCAGATGATTTCAGATTGCGCCACCAGGGTTTGACATAAGGAAGGCATTAGCTACTCAGCTGCTGCAATCATGATACTGTTTTAATAGTTTTAAGAAATTAGAGGCACTTGAATTTTCTTGCCAGGCCCAGGAACAGACATTTGTATGAATCCTCACAGGCAAGCCAAAGCTGATTTTCAAATAACAGGACCTTGCACTTTCTTACAGATTTGATCATTGCAAGACTTTTTTCCATTCTTAAAAATATTACACAGTTCTGGGAATGCTAGTATGTTACCCAAGTTGCTATTTTTCAAGTATGGATCTCGGAAATTAGTGTTGATTTGCATCTGGCTGCAACTTCATTCTTCCCAGAAGTGGTTAGGTGGAAAAACATTTTGTACCGCTGGGGATCATGGGATAAACATAATCCATGGTATTATGTTATGTTGTTCTCCAGTATTCTGTACTGCCCTGAGTGATTTTGTTTTGATCGGTTATCAGAACATTTTTCGGATTTCCATTTCGGTCGAAACAAATTGCTTAGTGAGGTCTTAAAGAGCCCTGTATGTGATAGAGTGGAGGTGTTCATGTTGCTTGACTTGCAGGAACAGGAGTCTGTTCTTCCATTCAGTGAGAATATGGCTGATCAATAACCTAACTTAACTTATCTCCCTTTGCCCCACATCAGGTATATTTTTGTTAACCAAAGCATTTATCAATCTCCCCCAAGAGAAACAGTCAATCCAGTGTCAATTGGTGGTTGCAGAAAGGAGTTGTGAACATAAGGAGGTATGTTAGTAAATTGGCAGATGACACCAAAATTAGAGGTGTAGTGAACAGCAAAGAAAGTTACCTCAGAGTACAGTGGGACCTTGATAAGATGGGCCAATAGGCTGAGGAGTGGCAGATGGAGTTTAATTTAGATAAATGTGAGGTGCTGCATTTTGGAAAGGCAATTCAGGACAGCCTTAAACTTAATGGTAAGGTCCCGGGGAGTAATGCTGAACAAAGAAACCTCAGAGTACAGGTTCATAGTTCCTTGAAAGTGGAGACCCAGGAATACAGGCTAGTGAAGAAGGTGTTTGGTATGCCTGCCTTTACTGGTCAGTGCATTGAGTATAGGAGTTAGGAGGTCATGTTGCGGCTGTACAGGACGTTGGTTAGGCCGCTTTTGGAATACTGTGTGCCATTCTGGTCTCTCTGCTATGTTGTGAAGCTAGATAGTGTTCAGAGAAGATTTATAAGGATGTTGCCAGGGTTGGAGAGTTTGAACGATAGGGAGAGTCTGAATAGACTGGGGCTATTTTCCCTGGAGTGTCAGAGGTGGAGGGATGACCTTATAAACATTAGAGGTTTATAAAGTCATGAGGGGCATGGATAGGATGAATAGCCAAGGTCGTTTCCCCAGAGTGGGGTGTCCAAAACTAAAGGGTGTAGGTTTAAGGTGAGAGGGGAAAAATGTAAAAGGGATCTAAGGGGCAACTTTTTCATGCAGAGGGTGGTGTGCGTATGGAATGAGCTGCCAGAGGAAGTGGTTGAGGTTGGTACAATTACAAGATTTAAAAGGCATCTGGATGGGTATATGAATAGGAAGGGTTTAGAGGGATATGAGCCAAATGCTGGCAAATGGGACTAGATTAGTTTAGGATACCTGGTCGGCGTGGACGAGTTGGACCGAAAAGTCTGTTTCTGTGCTGTCCATCTCGGACTCTGCCACTCCATAAATGCTTTCATAATTTCACTCCCGAAGGTCTGGCTCAAATATTTAGACTCTGTCTCCTAGTTGTATTTCTAATCAGCATAAAACCATTTCTCTATTTATCTTATCCCCTTTATATCTTAAATTCCGGTGCAACACCACTTAGCCTCCTAAAATCCAGGCAATACAACTCTAGTTTGTGTAATCTCTCGTGATGATTTAATTACTGTAGTCAAGATTTTTTTTCCTCTAAATCTATGCTCATTCTGTCTGAGACCATTAATCAAGTCTGACTTGTGATGCCACAGAATTGCTTGTATTACAAGATGGTGATGTTTTTTCTCTCTAATAGCCCGTATCTTGGAATGATGTTTGTGTCCGTTTTTCCTTTGAAGTATACCAGTTCACAGGTTTCATAGAATTACAGAAATTCACAGAACAGAAGGTGACCATTACATTGAGTCTATTGTAGAAACTGGGAGAAGTAGTAGGCTGTTTAGCCCTTTGAGTCTGCACCACCATTCAATATGATCAGGGCTAATCTTCTATCTCAATGCTAAATTCCTGCTCTCTCACCATACCCCTTGTTGCCTCTAAAATCTAAACAATTATCTATTTCTTTTCTTTGAAGATATTGAGTGACTTGTTCTCCATTATGGTAGAGAGTTCCACACATTCACTTTTATAATCTGCCGATATCCTGAGACTGTGTCCCCCTAAGCTACTCTAATACATACATCTCAAAACTCCAGTAGATTTGTTAAGCATAATTTTGCCGATCATAATCCCATGGTGGATCTGTCCAATTTCATTAACGCTTTCCAAATTCTGTTATTCGATCTTTTATAACAGATGTTTCACACTCCTGTTTGGCTAACTGTTCTGTGTTTTCTCTCTCTTTTCAAATAGTAAGGTTACATTTGCTACCCTCCAATCTGTAGGAACTGTGTCAGAGTCTACAGAATTTTGAAAGATAACCACCAATACATCGAAGATACTAATTTACTCTGAGATGTAGGTTATGCAGACTTGTAGTCAGGCTCTTGTGATTTGTCAGTCTTAAACCCCATTAATTTCTCTAGCACAGTTTTCTTCCAAATACTGATGCTCCTTCAATTCTGCCTTCTCACTGGACTGTTGGCTCCCTAATATTTCTGAGAAGTTATTTCCTCTTTTGTGATGACAGAGCCAAAGTATGTGTTCAATTCTTCTTCTATTTCTTTGTTTCTCCATTCTGATTTGCCCAGCTTTTGATGGTAAAGGACACACCAATCTTTTTCTCTTCACATACTTGTAGAAGTTTTTAATAAGGTCATTTTCTATGTTCCCTGCAATTTTATTTGTACTATATTGTACTTGATCCAATCTAGTCTGAACCCTAAAATGCACCCAGTCCTCAGCCTTGCTACTGTTTCTCGTATTTTTTTGCCTACTTTGGATCCTATCTCTATACTATCAATACATATTAGTCTTGAATGCATATTCCTATACATGTCCAAGCTGACCAGAAAAGAGCTAACCAACCAAATTCAACCCACTTTCCAGCTGTTGGACATACCCAGAAACTATAAGGTGGCAAACCAAGTACATTTTAAACGTGATGGGTTGTTTCTTCTT